AATGCGTCTACAATTCTAGATTCTTAAAGTAGAGAAATTATGCAAAAATACATTAAGAAAACCAAAACAATGTTTTATGATTTTATGTAAAGGGAAAGGGAATCTTATATTTTTTTTAAAAGTTATTGTCTAAATACCACAAGTCAATGGTATTCTTAAGACTTTTCCGCAAGATCATCAATATTTAGTTAACTTTACCTTAATGTCATAAACAAAAAAACAATGCGAAGTACTACCTGAGCAGTATTGACAAAGAGACCATTTTAAAATGCATGGAAATTTTTACAATCGTTTTTAAAAATGTCTTAACTAGTTTTTCAATTGTTCTATTTTATTTAATCTGCCCATTATACGTACAGTTCATTGCAAAAGAAGAAAACAGATAACATTATAATACACAGCACAAATGAAACTGCTAATTCGTTTCTTTTCATATTTCCTTGAAATATTTTTTTACGATGTTTCTTACAAACTAATTATTATTTTACCTTTTCTTTTTTTTCTCATGTAGCTTTTGTTATAATGAAATATAGTTTGTTGCTGAAACAGTTGGTCGCTCGCTGCCGACTGCTTTTTGTTTTTTTTACCATTTTTACACATTTATATTTATTATTAAAGTGAATAAGATTTATATCAGTATATTGTTAATCAAGATTTGAAGTACGATACGCTGTAAGGCAGCGCATTTAAATGAATTACATAGGAATGATAATGTATCAATGAATATATAAAACGTCAAGGTAATAAAGGTATGCTGTACTGTGTGTCCCAGAGACTTCAGATATATTTAACCCTTAACTGATATCGTGGGGTAAATTATCACCCCAGTCGCATAAAAACAAGTATATATTTTTTCCCATTGCAGACTTCAGATATATTTAAGACACGTTTCGCAAGCCCAAGATGCCTAAAAAGTTATGTACAATATATTTATTCTTTTTACAAAAAACAGATCCCATATATAACTTCAAACGCAGTTTCTTGGAGTCGCTTTTAAGATAAATATCAAATCTCACTTTTTTTTTAGATTTTGAAGTTAGTTCTATTTTTTGAAAAAAAAAGTCATTCTTTTTAATTATGCTTTTGATATTAATATGTTTTATATAACAGGTGACACTAACAAAATTAAATAAATAAATATAAAAATATGTTAACACAGTGAAAGTCTTAGAAAATTCTTCATATTTTTTTCCAATACGTAAATCTATACTGATATTGTAAAGATGAAAGGTTTGATCGCTTGTTTCTTTGCATTGGATAGGCTCCGAAACTATTGAAACTAAAAAACCGACTAAAAACTTCTTTCATGTACTGGAAGCTACTTAATACGCTGAGGACATGACTATAATTTACGCAGACGAAGTTACAACAACTAGTTTAATAGAAATTGGTTTACAATCCAAGAACAAATCGATGAAGACAGAAAACTTTCATATCCGTTGAACATATTCTTCTATCGGATTTTGAATGAATGCAAATTACGCAATCTGTTGTTTTTTCGCTGATATAAACATGCCATCTAAATATTTATTTAGGTGATATTTGGCAAAAAGCATATTTTGTTTTGTTATAAAAAGGAAACTGCTGGCAAATACATGTTTAATATTCTCCACTAATATACCTGACAGACAGACAAACAAATATTAGTCAACATTTCTATTAACTAAATGACCTTTGAAGAGTGCAATAAGTGAACTGGTTACATTAATTTTAAATTTATTCTTAGACAATTCGACGCTTACTTAATTAGTATTAATGGCGCCCTTTTCAATGATAATTTAAATTCCAACACGTGAATCAAGCTACTGATCACTTGATAGTTTAGTGTTATACTGTTATATTAGTACTTTAAGCTAGGAGTTAGGCAAATTAGAAAGTTTCGGCTATCACGAGTAATACATGTTAACAGTGTCTAGTGACAGGCACCGTTGATTTATTTTTATTTCTCGTATTCAAATTGTGTACGTCACTTTTTATAGAAACGAACTAATATTTTTACGAACGTACATTAAGTTCTCGTATATGTATTAAGAAGCAACAGTCATTATGTCTATTTTTTTAAATTTCTCCCTTAAAGAGTCCCTAATCCTAAGATTATAAATTGATCCAATTGCTCTTTTTTGAAGCACAAAAATCGTTTGTATGTCGGCAGCATTTCCCCACAATAGGATTCCATACGACATCACACTATGAAAGTAACTGAAGTATACTAATCTGGCAGTATCTATGTCAGTTAACATACGTATCTTCATTACGGCATATGCTGCAGAGCTAAGTCTACTCGACAATTTATCAATATGTGGGCCCCACTTTTGTTAAGAATCTAATGTTATTCCCAAAAATACTGTGGTATCCACAAGGCCATTGTTCTTATCTTTTATATTAACATATATATCTACTTTTTTAACATTAGGTAGTTCAAAACTTAGCTTAGCTTGCGTTCAAAATTTAACTCTCCATTCACAACGACTCCATCTTCATTTTCTATAATCATAAAAGTAATATTGTAACAATAATTATATTGACAAGCAAAGTATCCGTTTGTAACAGATTAAAATATTTTTATGACACACCAGAAAAATATTTTTATGGTGATGGCAAAATAGAATATATCCCGCATATTGTATTGTTATAAAATTCAACAAAGGTACTAGACCCGAAGCAGACAATGGATAACTCCGATAAGTCAGTATTCAAAACTGCAATCTCAAACCTAACAAATGTAGATATTATAAAGTGTATTTAGTGAACTGTTTTGTTTACAAAGTCTATTATTTGGAAAGCATCAATAGAAAAGATATTAATGCTAGTCACAAACAAAGTTAAGCATTGCCTAACTAATAATTGCTACTTTTCTGTTAATCACCCATTATCTAAAAACACTAAAAGTTATGATTCAGAAGTGATCTTAGTAGTGAATTTAATGTTGTTATAGGGCATTTGACACTATTAAAAATAAGTTGCTTGTTATTGTCAAAACTTTTATAAAAATACTTTCGTTGACTTAATAAATAGTTTTTTGTTGTTTACCAAAACCTTAGCAATATTATATAAGGAACTTGTCAGGCGCAGCGACGATATATATCACTTCTTGCTATTGTTATAGTTAAGTTAATATTGTGGCTTATACAGTCCATAACACTTTTTGAGTCTTAGTTAGAATACAATAGTTTTTTTGTATATAACATATTTCTAACCCTTATATTTTCTCAAGTCCCCAACATCAAGCTTAACTTACTTTTGGTTAGTTAACGTGTATTAGGCAAGATAGCCGTAACTTTCTAAATTGCCAAGATTTAAGAACGAAACATATAACGAGTAGTTTGATTCACGATATTGGAATTTAGAATATCATTAAAAAAGGGCGCCATTAATGCTTATTAATTAATCGTTGCATTGTTTAATAATAAAATTTTAAATAAATGCATACATTACACTAATTGTAATGTCTTCCATAGTCATTTAGTTAATAAGGGTTAATGATTAATTATAGTTTGTCTGTCCGTCAAGTAGATTATTATAACATATTAAACACGTATTTTTCATCGATAATAAATTACGGCCAAGCATTGAGTTGAAATGTCGCATGACGTCACGGCTTTGGTACGTTGAAGCAAAAAAATACGTATCTAATATTATTCTAAAGTATAGTAGTTACCATTGCTCTACCTAGTATTCGAAAGAACTGTATCCTTAATTTTGGAAAAGATAAATATACATAATATTTAATTTTTATAATTTAATTTTTGTCTCTAAACTTTTGTCTTCACTCCTTCGATATAAAAAATTGAAATGATCAAACGTGGAATGAGAAACGTTGACGGTTCAGTAATAATATGGTCAATATCACATGCCCCTTACGCTCAGATGTTTTGTTTTAAGAATTCCATTTATATAAAGAAATGGGATGTAATTTTCAAATCAGTGACCTTGAATTGAGAAATAAAATTATAGGCTAAAAAATGTTTTATTTTGTTTCATTGTATCTGAGGGGTTTCTATTCAAAATGACTATGATTCCTATATGGTTCAAGGGAAAATTGGCGCATCTTGAAGCACTGTCTTCGTTATTATTTTGTAGCCAATTTTCTACGGTTTTTTAGATCTTAAAACTACAATTTTTACGATATACTCACGCGATTCCATAGCATCAATGCTATCCTATCAAACAAATGTCATAATTTCAGATGATTTTCAAATATGTTTATGGCGCCTTGACTATATTTGCCATCCTTCATCATAATAGAACGTGTGCTCAATGCGATAAAATAAACCATACCTTTATCCGTACTAAATTATTTAGTTATTGAAAAAAATAAATCCTGGTAAGTGGGTGCCTATACGTTGATAAATCAATTTTATACACGTGTTACTTTAACTATATAAAAACTCTAAGTGATCTGAAAAATACATAATATTCGACAACAATTGACATCAAACATGTTTAAATTTTAATTTATTTATTTGTGGTGGCAGTGTGTGCGTTCAATGCAAATGCAATTTACTTCAATCAACACACAGTTCAATTATTTTAGTAGTAAACAGGCGATTATATACTTACACTATGATAAATCTAATTACAATATAAAGTTAAAGTCTTTGAAAACATAGAGACAAACTATTATTTATTAAATAATGAATTTCTAGAAAACGTTAAAGATGTTTCGTTCGCATATTAATTTATTATTCTAATAAAACTAAGTAATATAAATTGTTTCAATTAATAAACATCATATAATTTTAAATATATATTGCGTATATTAATATATAATATTTCAATAATGTCATTTTTTATCAAACATACACCGCAGACTGAAAACAGCATTTGTAACCCCGTCCAGGGTTATTGTATAAATACAGGTGTCCCGGCGGTGGTCATTTATTCGCTCGCTTGCACTCGCTCCGGCCAGTCGTGCGTGAAGCTCACTTAATTGTAGATTTTCACCCAGTTCGAGTTCGTATATTATTTATTCGTAATTGTGAGTGACAAGTGAATCCGTGATGTCTACCGATAATATCCAAAAGTTATATGAAAACTACAACATATTAGCCGAAGCTAAGGATACTATTTCCAAGGTATGTAGATATTCACAACCTATTTCGTCTGAGAAGTGATTGCCCATCGAAGTGTGGAATTTGGTTTCAATTGTACCACGACGTACCTTTATGTAACTTGACTGATTTTATAAGGTTTCAAACCAATTACAAAATAATTTATCTTTCGTTCGTCGGATTCTTAAGAAAAAGGTTAATAAACTTTATCAAATTACTTTGTCATACTGCAAACTTAATTTATTTATGTTTTTTTTGGGTAGGACAGGTATACCTTTTCTCGTATAGTAAATAGGCGGGGGAGTATCGATTAGAGAATTCCAATATTCAATAAAATATGGATTTATTGATGGTTATTTTGTATAATTTATAAACCGGCGTTTGTTTCTTGTTGTAGCACGAAAAAGAATATTTGGAAATATTAGCAGCTGTTAAGGGATCAGACAAGGGAAAGCGCCTAGCGTCACAGTTCATCGCTAGATTCTTCCATTATTTCCCTAAACTAGCAGATCAAGCGATTGCAGTACAACTAGATCTTTGTGAAGACGATAATGTTGCTGTAAGTAATCTGTTTATATGATATTTTTGTGTGATAGGTACTATTGAGGATAAATCGATCTTAGTAAAGGTAGCTAAAATTTGCACAGTACTTTTTGTTACCATTTTTAGCCATATATTAAAAAATAGCATTGATATAGACAATCGATTAACTAAATTAATAATATCGTAAATAATCTGATTTTAAGGAAACCCAAGATTAAACTAGACCGGAAAAGTAATCTAATTGGTTGTTAACAAACATTCATGTTTTACCCTGATTACCAGTAGTCACCATTCCATTAATTTAAATTTTTATTACAGATTCGAAAACAAGCTATCAAAGATTTGCCGATGCTCTGTAAGGGACGTAAAGAACATACTCAAAGAATCGCTGATATCTTATCTTGGCGTTTGCAATCTGATGATACTACAGAAATTAATGTGGTCACCAACTCATTAAGTGCTGTATTGAAAAGTGATCCAAAAGGAGCACTCACAGGCATATTTGGTCAAATTTACCGTAGCACAAATGGAGAGGTTGCAAAAGAAATTATAAGGGGGCGCTGTATTAAATTTTTGGCAACTAAAGTTAAACAACTTGGACGAGAAATTATAAACCAAGAAGCAGAAGGGCTAATTATTTTGGAATGTAAAAAAATATTAGAGGTATGTAATAAACACTAAATTCCATATTCTGTAAAATAGAAAAATGTGAGTTTTAACTGATCAGTCCAAATTCAAATGAAACTCGTATCCAAAAGTAAAAATAATAAATAATTCATATTGCAGAATGTTGTTGCTGCAGAATTCGAGCACATCATGGAATTACTTACCTGGTCCAGACTTGGTAAAACTTTAGCAGGAAAAAAGGAATTAGTGCAACTAGTGGCATCATTAGCATTCTCCCCAGAAGACTGGCATCCAGAAGATCCAGAATATATTGATAGACTCATACAATGCTCTCGACATGCTTTACCATTGTTTTCTGTAAGTATAAGACGACAATGATATATTCATATAAGAATATACTGGTTTAATTTTATCGTTATATTTCCGCTTAAAGCACGTTTAATGTTCCGCATTGAGATGATACAAATTATTAGGTTCTTTGTTACCCGCACAGAATAGCCGATTTACTTAATACCTCTAGGTTCGGCACCACTGAACTAGATAATAAATCTTTCAAATAAATGCTTTTGTAATGAGTTATGAGTTAAATATTTATGAAATAGGAAGTGATCAGTGTAAAAATTTGTTTTCTACATAAACAGTTTTTTTTACAGTCCCGAGTTGATTCGTCACAGTTTGTCAAGTTCTTCTGTGACAACGTGTTAGCCCGTTGGGAAGTTATAACTACAGAAGGTGCTGCTCATTCAACGTTGGAATTGCTGAAAATATTAGCTGAAATTACAGAGTTCTGTGGAGATGTGGAAAATATGGAAGAAAAAATAACTACTGTTTATGATATTCTTATGGTTAGTAATCGTTTTTGCTACTTAGTTATTAATTATTCACATTTTATTAACAATCACGCGTTACTAATTGAGAGTTGTTTTTCTTATAGAAATACTTGCCAGAGATTCCAGTTGATACTGAAACAAATAGTGCAGATAAAAATAAAAAAGTAACTGAAAGTAAACCAGAAGAATGTTCAGCGACTCCATCTTTACAGATTTCCCATATGGAATGTGTATTGTTTGCACTACATTCGTTGTGTCGCATATCACCTGATACACTTGGCGATGATACTGTGCGACTAAGAACTTTGCGTTTACGTTTGCAATATACTGCAAGACTAACACAAGGATATATGAAGAAACTAAAGTTAGCTGCACAGGTAAATAAATAAGTACATATAACCTTTACTATACTTTTACTTTTTTCGACTATTTACTCATAAACAATATTATTTATATTTTGTTGTTTTGAGAAATAATGTGCAATAATTCTTAACTGTAATTATAGGGCAGAGAAGGACAACAAGATTCTGAAGAGAAGGAATTAAGAATCGCATCACTAAAGGCAATATCAAACATCCACATTCTTATCAGGGATATGTTCCGCATTCGACTAAGATATAACACCAAAGTACAACTCTCGTTCCAATTTTCTAAACAACCCGAGAAAGAGGTCAGTATCCCACACCAACACACGAGTTACATCTTGATTATTACGTTATTAACATGGGTTGTTTAATATAATAATTTTATTTGGTTTAGGAACAACAAGATAACGCAGGAAACCAAGACAAACTAATCTCAGGACAAAAACGACACCGACCAATGACATTCGACAATGATGAAGAAAACTTTGCTTCTGAAAAACGAACCTGCAGTCGTGATAACATTTACACACCACCATTTGGCAAATACAGTTCAAAACTGAATATTACAAACGGATTCTCAGGGTCTAACCCTGCTAGGGGCCGAAAAAGATATGGTAGGCGCGCCTTCCGCAACATCGGCGCACCATACAGACGTAACTAATGACGGCCATTTCAAAATTGGTGCCATCTAGTCGAAAAAGTCACTGCTACCACAGCGATAGGTTTTATTGTTTTTATCGTGATCGTATCATATTTACACGTATCATGTGTAATTCTGTTTTAAGAATCCGTTTTTTTATTTTTCTATAGTTGAAATATCGTTTTAAAATTATTTCACCATAAGTCACAACAAATATCAATAAAATTTTCATACGACTATCGCTACTTCTATTACATTTTTACACTTGAATATAATGTTTTATTCTAGTAGTATATAATCTTGAAATCATAATATTTAGTCAGATAATAGATATTAGGAATATCGTACTGGTACGTATAATATGTTGTTGGATTAGTTGCTACAGGTGGTGCAGTGCAATTGAGCACTCCTTGCTGGACCTATCTATGCGCGTAAGGTGAACCTCAACGTGTTTTATCGAGAAGGCCAACTACATTGACTTGCCCTTTTCAGGCGGGGCGGTTGGAGACTCCCAATTTGAGGCTTGGGGTGTATTTCCCCGTCGTTATAATAAAATGGTAGTACGGTGTCGCAATTTGTTGGTCGGATGGTAAATTTTATTTCTACGAAGGCAACATTTAATACGGATTAACGTAGTAATAATATTGAAACGATTGCATCTTCTGTGAGTATTAGATATTCTGTGGTATTTGCTTGTACTAATAACGTACTAGTCAGGAGTTTGCAGTTATGTATGAAGTAGTCGTAGCAATGGTAAGTCTGTAGAATGTACAATGTAATACCAGTCGCCGGCGTCTTATTTACACCCGGTTTCTGAATTGAGTATTTGAAGTTGAGCACGTCTCGAACGCGCGCCATTTTAAACGTCAATTGAACAGGTTTTCATTACTGATTTATAATTTTTTAATGATCAGTTGATGGCAATTTGATAAAATTAGGACTTTTCGCCATATGAAATGTAAAAAACTTAAGTTATTGAGAATAATCAGTTGAGATTTTGTGTTTTTCTCAATTCAGAAACCGGCCGTTAGCCAAGTTCAGTGAGAGATCATCAGGATCCTTGGCAAGTATGAAAGTTGTAAAATAATCGCTTTATTTCAGTTATTTCTCTTTCCTAATTTTATGTTATCTCTTCTGCTGGATTATTTGCATAGAGTTATGATTGATATTTGTCTGTTTATAAAATTTGACAATAAATTATAACCAATATTTTTCTTGTTTTATTTCAATGATCTTTCCCAGATAATCATTTATTATTCCTGTTAAGTTCTTCTCAGGATATAAAGTAACTTTTTTATTTAGATAGATGTAGGACGTAGCTTTATGCGCTCTGATATATATAGTCTGTGAGAGAGACTCACAATAGATTACACGTTTTCAGAAAAATACACAAACGTTTCCATATGATATAATCTTAATATTGTGGTTGTGTCCAATAAGGATTGTTTGAAGGTAGCTATGTTCTTGATTATAAAAGAAATAATGTTTAATTCTTAATTTTAAATGATAATTTGCGCAAAGATAATAGATTGGTTTTATAATTGTACTGTTATTTGCATTAGAAACCTACCTTCCTAGATAGGGGATCGGACAACTTTATAAAAACTAAACAAGAATACAGTAAAAGAAAAAGAAAAAAATGGATAGAAAAAGATGGACCTCCAATAATTAGTCAGTATGTGTGGTTTTTCTCACAAAAAAGTAGTATTTGATGTATATTTAACCTTAATTATGTACCCAAATCAATGTTTTAAATAAACCATGTAAGCGACTCTGGGGTCGTCCAGTCCCCAGAGTTGCCAGATTTGTAAACAAAAGGGATTTTTAGTGAAAAAAATGAATTATATTATTCAGTACGTAAAGTCAAACTAATAAATAAATTATACAGAAAACTGACGCTTGTAGCTTGGTTAACATCAAATCCTTAAAATCATTTTGCACTAATTGACAACGCGACTTCATACTTACCCAATTTCGGAGCTCAGTTGTCGCCTAGAGTACGTAGGCGGGATGATAAATAGAGTTTGGCAAGCGAAACGTGACACCACCTATTTTTCCGTTTTCATATGGCAACAACATAGAACTGTCAGTTTGACACTACGTTAGACAATTCAAGAATATTGAATTTTGTTGTTTTTGCGAATTTGAACTTGTGTTTTTGGTTAAAAATTATGTCGAAGCCGATAAAAAGTTCATCGAGGAAACTTCTTTCCATCATGATTGACAAGTTTACTGAAGTGAAAACTGAATTAAATAAAAATTTCATGGAGAAATTACAACGATTAGATAAAGTTGTATCTTTTTTAGGTTAGTTTTGTATTATAATTTTGATACTTTCGTTTTAATTTTCTGTAATTAACTAAACAGATATTTTTTATAAAATATTGCTCTATTTCAGATAACTGTGATGGTGATATTCAACCAATAATGGAGGAGATAAATGCAATAAAAACTTTAGAAAAACAAGAAATGCTGAATTCGGAAACGCAGTACTTACAAAAAATTTCTTCAATGACAGGTCTCTTTTCTTGTTTTGATTTAAGATAGATTGATAGTATTCCTATAATATTTACATAGGTTTTTTATGATGTATTGGTTTTTATTGTTGACATCCAATGATGTCATAAGAATGTTTTGTTTAACAAGGAAATTCACAGAATTCATGAAACTAATCAAACCATGTAATTGTTATACATGCTAAATATGCACATAAACTTAACTAAATTAAACATAAATTGCATTCATAGTTGAATAGGTATTTAAATTATTTTGATGTATGTGTCTATCATTATTTGCTTTTAAATACATTTAACATATCTTTGTTTCAAAGTGTTTAATCTTTTATAGATGTAAGTATAAGGACACTAAGAAGGATAAAAAATGAAGCATTAATTAATAAAGGAAAATGGGACACTCCTGGGAAAAAACGACCTCATCAACCAACAGTGTCTGCTTTAGATAATTTTGATTTAAGTGCAATTCGGAATAAAGTAAATGAATTTTACTGTGTGAAAAAATTGTTCCAACATTAAGAAGCCTTCACAATGAATTAAAAGATGCAATAGGATTCAGTGGTAGCCGTGAGACTTTACGAAAAATTATGCTTAAGAATGGATTTTCTTTTAAAAGCAATGAAAATGAACGTTCTATGCTTATAGAAAAATACCAGATTTCTGCATGGAGGCACAAGTATTTGAGAGAAATAAATATAAAACGAAACGAAGGAAAGCAAATTGTGTACCTTGATGAAACTTATGTACATCAGAATTATAAAGTTAAAAAGTCTTGGCAAGGACCTTCAACAACTGGTGTCACTACAAAGATATCCTCTGGAAAACGGCATATTGTTGTGCATGCTGGATCTGAGGAAGGTTTTGTGCCTGGTGCATTATTAGTGTTCAGTAGTAAATCCAAATCTGCTGATTATCATGATGATATGAACTCATCGAACTTTATGAAATGGGTCAGAGAAAAATTAATACCAAATTTAAGTAAGCCCAGTGTAATTGTTATGGATAATGCCAGCTACCATATAAAACAAATCAATAAACCGCCTATAATGTCTAATACCAAAGCAGATATCCGTAAATGGCTTGTAAATAATGGAATACATTTTGAGGAATATCAGACAAAGGCAGAGTTAATGTGTTTGGTTAATGATAAGAAAACATTGCCTGTATATGAAGCTGAAGAGATTTTAAAAGAACATAATCATGAACTTTTATTGCTGCCACCGTATCATTGTGACTTAAACCCAATAGAGATGGTTTGGAGTCAAGCAAAAAGAAAAATTGCAAGCAGAAACATTGGAATACCAGGAAAGGAAATGGAAAACTTAATAATAGAGTGTTTTAACTTAATTACCCCTAGTGACTGGAAGAAATACACTGATCATGTTTTAAATGTCGAAAATGATTACAAATTAAAAGATGGCATTGTTGAAAACGAACTTGAAAAATTTATTATATCTGTTGGTGCAGACAATAGTGAAGAGAGTGACTCTGATGATTCCTTGTCATTGTTATCAGGTGTAGAATATTTAGAAACAGATTTTGACTATGAATCAGACTAAAGTATTTTTAGTCTGATTCATAGTCAAAATCTTATCTTAAATTTTCTATTGTGATTAACATGATGATTTTGTGACACCTGTATTATGTAATTTATCCATGGCACTTAATTGTAACAAAAATAAATGTTTTTTTTATTGTAATCTGGTGTTTATATTGACTAATTTAATTTGATAGATAGTGGTTCTGGATCAGAGCAAAAGGTTGTGATGAAAATCCCTTAGGAGACATGTATGTGTTATGAACACATTATAAATATAAGGGCCAGAAATCAAAATTGGCTAACATCACATTTATTAAAAAAATGTGGCCAGAGTCGCCCATATTCATTACAAAAAAACAAAGAAGTCGTTGCAAAAAACACCCTTTTAATTAATGACAAATATGAATTTTTAATATTATAAGTGCTGTTAGCCAATAGGTATAACGAATGGGTTAAAAAAAAGATTCGATTTAGTCCGTCAGTCAGATAATAGAAAACAATTGGATACGTATTTTTTTTCGCTTTAATTTAACAACAAATGGCTTAAGAGGTACTATGCGACGACTTCAAATATGCTTTGCAACAATGTTACTTTAATACAGTTTATCGATACGAAATCAAGTGATGACGATTCTTGGTTGTCAGTTGAGTTAGTGAATAGGCCTACTGATATGCTGTTAACTGTACAATTAAGAACAGTCACGCTTTAGTCAAATGTTCCAAAACAAATAATTTTAATTGATATCTAAATGTTAAGATTAAATATAATTAATAAAAGTATCAAAATTATTTTGCAGTACTACATTCAGTGTTTACTGCTTAAGAATTTTTGAAATTGCCGCCCTTTTCTTGTGACACGTTTCGCTTGCCAGACTCTAGCTAACCCAACCCATATTTTATATAATAACGATATAAAATCTCTTTAGTATTTTACTCATTGGTTAATTAGCTGCCAGCGTTCCAAATTTCAAATCGATCATATAGTTTTTCTTTTAAATATTGACATTTCAAAAAGCATTGTTTTGTTTTTTCTGCAAAATGGTGAAATTGAGCTACGAGCTGTTATAAAGTTTTTGCATTTAAAAGGATTAAAAGGTGGAGAGATTTTTTCGGAGATGAAGGATGATTTGGGTGAATATGCTCCTTCATATGCGACCATAAAAAATTGGATGGCTGAATTTAAACGTGGCCGTACCAGCACCCAAGATGAACATCGTCCAGGACGTCCAAAAAGTGCCACTACTCCAGAAATTGTGATCAAAATTCATAATGCAGTTTTAGCTGACCAAAGATTGAAACTTTCCAAGATAGCGGATACTGTATGCATCTCTAAAGAACGGGCGCATTAGATTTTGACTCAATAATTATGTATGAAAAAATTATCCGCAAGGTGGGTGCCACGATTGCTTACAGTTGACCAAAAACGCGTTCGTATGCAAACTTCACAAGAATGTTTGGACCGCTTTAAGAGCAATACAACTGATTTTCTGCGACGGTTTGTTACTACAGACGAGACTTGGGTTCACCACTATATACCTGAATCAAAAATTCAGTCTAAATAATGGACGGAAAAAGGATCCCCGGCTCTAAAGAAAGCAAAAGCCGTGAAATCAGCGGGGAAAGTCATGGCATCAGTATTTTGGAATTCGAAGGGTATATTGATGATTGATTACCTTCCAAAAGGACAAAACATAAATGGCGAATATTATGCTGATCTACTGGATAAATTACAAGTGTGTATTCGTGAAAAAAAACCCGGCCTGGCTAAAAATAAATAATCTTTCATCAGGATAATGCGCGCATTCACACTTGCATCATTGCGATGGCGAAAATCAAAGAATTAAATTATGATTTGCTACCACACCCAACTTATTCTCCTGATCTGGCACCATCTGACTTTCATATATTCCCTAAGCTCAATTTTTTTTAGGTGAACAAAGGTTTGAAAATAATAGCGAGGTGATGTCCGCCGTACGCCACTGTGGTATAAGTTGTTGAAATCTTACCGCGCCATTTTGTCTGCGGCGCTTCGGAGTCAACAAGTACAATAGAAAACTGCGGTCTGGTAAGTGAGATCCCTATTACAGTTTTGTTATAAGTGAATAATTAATGAGTTTATAAGGGAATTCCGTTACTTCTAGGAAGTAAGATTGGTCATGGAACCGCGGCTAGTAGACGGGTTAACGAGTTTATATAGTTCACATGATTATAGTTTGTTATGATATAAACTGCGACTTCAAGGAAGTCAGACAGCCGGTGACCAGCTTGATGGCTTGTTGGACGCTCGTTCTCAGGGAGAGCGGGCTTGATGATTGATGACTTCTTGGACACTCGCCCTCAGGAAGGGCGGGTAGAACAATTGATGACTTATTATATTTTGATTAATTTTGCATTAATCAAAATTATTTTTAATACAAAATGCTTAAAAAATCCACATGGTCCCTGGTACCCTGAGATGGTAATCGAACCAAAAATTTTGATGGATGTCTGAACATAGAATGAATTACATAACATCTTTATGATCATCATAATTTTTTCCCCGGTGAGATATAATAGAGGGATGTGTTATCATCTCGATATGTAGATTCGATTAGGAATTGAATAGTCGCGACAACGGGTGAAGCTTCTTTAAAAAAAAAATCAAATGAGTATCGCCAATGCGCCTATTTCAAATCGGAACCGTCAGTTGAAGGAACTGCGAAACGATCCGGACGTAGGTAGCGTGACAAACTAGAGGTCGGAAGACCTTTGTCCTCAGACATATTGATTTCGAAGAACACTTTTAAGCATAAAAAAGTTATACAAGAAAAGACAAAACCAATTTAGATACTTGGTTTTATTATAATTTAAAACAGAGCAAATTATTTGACATAAGAGAGTAAGACAATATCAATTAATAACATATGTCGTTATTCAAACATAAAACTTGTATAAAACTTTTTAGCAAAGAGTAGGATTGCAAACTCGAGGAAATCGCATCACGAGGTTTACTCCAGCTACAAATTAGCCAAACGTTCTCGACAAAGTGGTGAGTCCGTAGATCAATATTTACAAGCCCTGAAACTGCTTTCGAAATATTGCAACTTCAAATAAGTACAAGCAAAAATGAATTTATTAGAGATGCATTCATATACGGTGTCTCATCGCCCTCAGTCTGTCAGAGACTTTTGGAAAATAGCACACCGACTTTGGTCAATGCTTTTAAACAAGCACGTGCTTTAGAGATGGCACGTATATACAACAATTATTATCAGCAACCTAGAACTAGTTTCTCAGTCTTCGCAACGTCAAACTTATTTTTGTGGAAATAAGAGACACGCATGATACAACTGCCCTGCTCAACATGTCTTAAATGCAGAAAAAGAGGACATTTTGCAAAAGCGTGCAAGTGCGCCGCACAATTTCATCAGATAGATTTCGCCGCACAAAACGACACTCATGAAGATGACAAGGCAGGATGTACGAAATCACGTATTATCGCTGCTACAACGGACTTAAGCAAAGCACGATAAATGGATTATTTACTACTAAAGCTAGTAACAAGTAACAAGTAATGAAAACCATTATAGAAGGATGTGTATAAATTATGCGCAGACTGTGAACAAGCTTACACACTAAATGCTTATCGACTGCCGCGTGTTGAAGATGTGATATACAGGGTATATAGCGAAATTGATCTGAAAATCAAAAACATTCGTCAATAATTAAGAACGATAAAATACAACGCTGGCGACTACAACTGTCCGTCTATAATTTTGATTTGATATATTGCTCTGGAAAGGAGAACGCAGCAGCTGATGCGTTGTCACAGGTTAACACTGCGATTATCGCTTCTGCAAGCTCCTAAAAAACTGTACTAAAGGAACTCCATAACACTTTATGCCACCCGGGAGTCACAAAAATGCTTCGCTGGGTCAAGAGGATAAATTTTGCCCACTCTTTAGATGAAACAAAAAATACCATCTTAAACTATCCAATATGCGCCGAAGTAAAACCTCATTTTCGACGAAAAGTTGGACTTATAAAAACTTGAAAAGTTATCTATCGATTTTAAAGGTCCAATACCATGAAGCTAAAGAAACAAATCGATACGAGATTGGACTTTGACTCATAAAATATACTTAAGATTAGGCAGTATGGGTAAGTTCTTTCGTCTGTCCCCTGGACAAAACCTAAAAGAAAAAACCAAAGAGAATTAATCAAAGAGTAGTATTATAGAATTAATCACAATAATTGCCAATGGTTGTCAAAGAGTACTCTAAAAGTTGAGCTATTTTTCTGTTGTATCGAGTGGATTTTACAGTGATTTTAATTAAAAAAAAACATATTTTTGTGGTTTTACCGGGAAGTATTGTGAAACCTTCAATGATTGGGAAATCCAAAACAAACGAGACTCTAAAACAGTTGTGAACAATTTACTACGCGGGCAGAGATGGACGAAGAAATAGATCGAACGTTACCACTATCAGCGTATAGCTATGAATTTAAGGCCGTGGTCTCGAAACTAGACCCTAAACGCGTATTGACAACGGACGGTCCGATAAAAATTCTCAGGTATTTTTAGTTTTGTTGTAACATACAACTGTTTAATGTTGGCGTATTTACAGAATGGCTATGACTCTAAAAGTCAAAACAAAGCAAATTTTTATGTCTGATAACTACATTAATTTGTATGGTTAATCAACTCTGTCTCATCTATTTTATTTATTATACACATTGTTTGTTTCCATGAATTCAGGTGATTATTGTACTTTAATAATAAAAAAAGTGAAGTTATGAACATGAATACTTAAATATACTTTTTTACAATAAAATTATTACACATAATGATCCTTAACTACCTAATTTTAATATAATAACAGCCATAATTATTGACACAATTCCTTTGTTGACAACAATTAGATAATGGAAAGTTCAGAGAAAAGAACAAAAATGTTTCAATCAAATATCTTATTTTATGTAGAAGAAGTATTTGGTAATTACAAAATAATTAAAGTAACTTTATTTTATCTGATGACCAGTGGATGTAGCAGAGAGATAATAAATAGGAAATTGATGAAAAAAACTGAATTCAAATAAATAAATAAACATTTTGAAGTAATATTGATTTTCTAAGTAAACTTTTAATAGTAGTAGTAGTTTGTTAATATGTCTATTTATATTTTTTATTTTAGAGATTGGAGAGGTTTAGCATTTTTATTGAGTATCCCAAATGAAATTTCACACAGCATAAGTGAAGCGTCAGATAAAACTATTCGAGTACTTGACATCTGGATCCAAAGGAACGATGGTACAGCTACACTTGGTAGATTAATGGAATACTTGGTTCAAATGGACAGATATGACATCTATGATGACTTGGTAGAACTTTCGAAAGGAGGAAGGATTTTGGGTTGATATCACTATTTTGTTTATGTTTAATATTATTTTAATTTCTTAATAAAAAATTACAATATTTTATATATTTCAGCTCCACAAAGGCAAATAACTAACGGCAATGAGTTACATTTAAATGGCCATAGGGATGATAACATGATAATCACCCATGATGACAGGAGAGATGGCTATCCAAATTACTATCATGCATATGTGTTGTTCGCTAAAGAGGACTGGAGTTTTGTTCGTGAGCTCCTAGCTAGAATGAAAGCATTGAAGTTCAAAGTAAAATACTTTATTTTTAATAAAATATTGTGATTAAAATTGTCATCCTAATTTGAAATAGAATTCTTTTTATTAAACCTTAGAAGAAGTTAAGGCAGTTGTTACTGAAATAGTAAAAAAAAAAAAAATTTAATTATTATTGACTAAGTTATAACCTAAAGATCCATTTAAAATTACTTTTAAATTTGTGTCCTATTTCATGTTTGTTTTCAGTTATGCACTGAATATGATATTGAAGTAGGATATGGTACTCAATATGCACCGGTGGCCCAACTAATCTCGGAGAGGTGTCACCGCATCATCCTGGTTTATTCACCAGCATTTATTGACAGTCTTGCTAATGGCTTCTACAGTGATTATGCACAGGCGGTTAGCATTGGTGAGTGTTATATGCTAATGTTACTTATCAGGACTGTTCAACATAACAGTTTTTTTATATGTCAATTTAATTTTTAGTTACCAGAGGAGTTGAAGGTTTGCTTCATTCAGTTATTTATATAAAATACACTTATTTTTATAGGGGCCCCTTAGCATTTGTAAGTTTAGCAATTGTCAATGATTCCATACTATATATAAATTTTTTTAATCACAACGTTTTGATTATTAATTATTGCCTATTATCTTTAAGCATATCAGTATAAAATCAAAGTAATATTAGTTGCACACTAAACTATATTAATAGATAACTAATCAAAACTATTACATCTGCTTCCAAGCTATAAGAGTATTAAAGGTATTATAAATAGCACAGGGAAACCAGTGTTTAAACTGCTCGTAGCTATTACTTATTTTCATCAATAATTAATGCTACAAAATTTTAGTTTTTCGGTGCCGGGTATTTTTTTAGTTATATATAGATGTAAAATTATCATATAAATACATTTTCCAAAAATGTGCATATTCCCTATTGTCAAATTTTTGGGAACTTTGGTTAAATACAAATTTAAATAATATATATAATTTATACCTAACACTATATTATCTGAAATGGAAGATTTCATAACAATATTAATGTGTAAAATGGTATGTAACATCATAACCTGTATCTTTCGGCGAATTAAGCAATAAAAGTAGTTAGGTATTATTAGCTGAGGAATGTCACTGCTTAAAGCAATTTTATGTCTTCCCTACTCTGTCTATAATGCCTCATATATTGAAGCTAAAAGTTGACGGACAAACAAAAACTAACTGAGATTTTGGATTGACAAAAATAATTTTACACTGAACAAACTGATAGTGTTAGCACTCATCCCTACTTCAGGACGAAGGAGTATAGAAATAGTGTCAAAACTGTCATATTGTGCAAGGCGAGTACTGACTGCGAATTCAATTTTAGTTAATGATTTGTTGCAGAAACGAACAAAAGGAATATAATACCTATTATTTACCGCGACTGTCGGCTGCCACACAATCTCATGTATTACCACAAGCTTGTGTACAATGAAAACGATGAGTGGATGCCCTACAACTTCTGGGAGAAGCTCGCGCAGACGCTTGATAAGGTCAAACTACCCAAGTAAGTCCCGCCATCCTATTATTATTATAAATGAGGAAGTTTCTTTGGTTGGATGTTTGTCTGTCAATCACGCCAAAACTACTGAACGGATTTTGATAAAAGGAAAATGTTCTTATTGGTACTTTATTCTGAAAAAATCTAACCGCTATAAAGAAAATTATCATAGCATCACACTCAATCCTTTATCTTTCATCAAAATTTCAGGCCTGAAAGTCCCCCGTTTTAGGATTTAAGTTTAAAAAATTGCTATGGTTTGCCTAGAAACACTAGTAATCACAGCCATAAAACTGATTAAAAACATACAAAGGGATCTTTGTCCACAGCCCAGTTTTCGTTAGGGTACTTTGGGCTAATTCAGATAGTGAAATAAACATAAAGCAATATGTGTGTCGTAATTAAAAGATTTTTTTATCTAGTAAAAGCTTGTTCAATACTCAACTTTACTGACACAAAATGCCTGACCTGATTAAATTGCCTATTTTGGGTATTACCCGAAAGCACCTTATAATAACTTAGCGTCCCCTGTAGACGAATCATATATAAATATCGTGAAATTCAAATTCATAGTTTGTTAACTATGTAAGTCATGCTCTGAATAGACTCAAACCGGGCCTAGAGCAAATAGAAATAATGATTCCAAATTGTCCAAATAGATTAATTCATAGCATGGATTGGTACGTAACTTAGGGATGGGGTTGCCATTGATTTTCTTAATGCACTTTTGTGTTGCTACATAAATTGTAAAATATCCACCAAATGATCAGAGTCATCAATTGATCTATCACCAGAAATTTAACATTTTGGCAGCGCCTTTTTTTTTTTTTTTTTTTTTTTTTTTTTTTTTTTTTTTTTATTTGCGATCAGTCTATTGACTATAAGCAGATGTGATGTGAGCGTTTTTATCTTGTAGGAACAATACTCCATTGAGTATCTCTCCATTCTTTGTTTTCTATCATTTCAAGATCAAAGTGATAATTCAATGATGTGTTGTCGTTTAAGCCTCTTGGGGTAGTTGACGCTGGTCAATTGTACTGCCAGGCAATTTGGATGAGTAAGAAGGCGCTCTTTGTATTTGGCCGAGTATTGCCTTATTTCGTCCTTGACTGTGCAAACTCCAAGTTCATTATGGAGTTCAGTTGTTTTTATGAACCATGGCGCATTAGATAGATTTCTTAAGATGCTATTTTGTGCTCTTTGAATAATTTCTATACTGGAGTTACAGGCTGATCCCCACAGCTGAATACCATATGTCCAAATTGGTTTTAAGACAACCTTGTAAATAAGGAGTTTGTTATCAATGCTCAGCACAGAGTGTCGTCCAAGTAGCCATTGCAGATTCCTGTATCTGATGTTAATTTGGTCTCTTTTTTTAAGCAAGTGGTTCTTCCATGTTAGTCTACGATCTAAGTGCATACCCAAGTATTTAACTGTATCCTGGTGCGGTAGAATTTTTCCTTCCAGTTTTACAGGTGGACAGTCTTCTTTACGAAGGGTAAATGTGACATGAACTGATTTCGAAGAAGAAGCTTTGATTCTCCATTTCTTTAACCATTTTTCTATTTTGTCCAGCTCCTGCTGCAGAAGCTGGTTTGCTTCTTCTGGATTCTTGCTACTAGCAAGAATGGCAGTGTCATCTGCAAATGTAGCAGTTAATACTCCAGTGGTTTCTGGAAGATCCGACGTAAATATGGTATACAAAAGGGGTCCCAACACCGATCCCTGCGGTACTCCAGCCCGTATTTTATAGAAATTGGATGAGTATTCCCCGTCTCTTACGTGAAAGATTCTCTCAGAAAGGTATGATTTTACTATACCGAAGAAGGTATGTGGCAGCGATGTTTTGATTTTGCAGAGTAAGCCATTGTGCCAGACTCTGTCAAAAGCTTGTTCTATGTCGAGGAACGCAGATGAACAGTATTCTTTTAATTCCAGGGATTTTCTTATTTGATCAACAACTCTGTGTACTTGTTCCACTGTTCCGTGTTCTTGTCGGAATCCAAACTGATGGTCAGGGATTACCGATCTTTCAGATAGGGCGTCCAGCATGCGTACCAAAAGTATCTTTTCAAATAGCTTTGAGATGACCGGTAGCAGGCTGATAGGTCTATAAGAGCTCACTTCATTAATGGGTTTTCCTTCCTTGTGTATCATTATAATTTCAGAAACCTTCCAAATACCTGGAAAGTGGCCGGTTCTCATGATGCCATTAAAAAGTGTCGATAGATACACTAAACCTTTTCTTGGCAGTTGGACTAAGACTTCCTTACATATTTCATCAAAACCAGGTGCTTTTTTATTATCCAGTTTTAAAATATACTTTAGAACTTCTTTAGGGTTTGTTGTTTTTAAAGGCAGGTCCATCTGTAGATCTTGGTTTAATATGGCTTCAATTTCTGGATCTTCACTATTTGTAGCTTCGTTTGGTTTGAAGACATTAGATAGGTGGTTGGCAAAAGCATCTACTCTTTCCTGAGCTGTTCTTGCCCATGTGCAATTTTGTAATTTGAGAGGTGGTCGGGTTCGCTTGGGTTGATTAAATTGCGCAGTAGCTTTCCAAAGGGAATAATCGGATGACCTTGTTGGTGTCAACGACTCTAAGTATGAGGTGATAGTTTTATTTTCAGCGTCCTTGATTAGTTCTCTTAGTTCCACTATAGCTTTGTTTAAAGCTTTTTTGTCTACCTCAAGCCTGCTGCAGTGCCAAACTCTACGAAGTCTTCTTTTGTCCTGGATTTTCAATCGAATAGTTGCTGGAACGCTGTTGTGTTTTGGATACTTATTTTGTCTGTTTGAGGTTGTTAACCAGCAGGCAACTTGTATTAGATTTGTAAGTTTGGTTGCAGCCGCATCGATGTCATCTGGGGTTTTAAGTGCAATTTTCAATTCCAGTCTTCTATCTATGATCTCTCGAAAAGAGTCCCAATCGGTACTCTTGTTGTATAATTTAGGGGTTATCTCATATTCTAGCAACGTGGTGCTCAGCGTAAGTAGAACTGATGTGTGGTTTGAGGATCCGTCCAAACACGCATCCGTTTTAGAGGCATATTGCGACATTCCTTTGCAAATATAGAAGTCTATTATGTCTGGCAGTTTATTCGTGTCTGTTGGCCAGTGCGTTGGTTCTGAAGTAGAGAGCGTAACGAGGTGGTTGGTGTCTACAGCTTGTTTAAGTTGTCTTCCTCTGGTGGTAGCTATCCTCGAACCCCAATGGGGGTGTTTGGCAGCGCCTAAAAATAAAATTATGATGTGTAAAGTTAATGTACCTTCTATCGATTAATCGATTCATATATTATATACTCTATGCTTGGTTAGAAATAATTTGAATAATTAAAGTATCTGCCTCTAAACATAAAAAAATCTCTTTTGATATACATTAGATAGGGTATAAGCTGACTTAGATAATAGGATACTTTTTACCCCACTGAATAGTTCCCTAAGAACCACGCAGACGAAGCCGCTTGCGGAAAGCTAGAATTGATATATTATAAATCTGAAAATATTTTTTTTTTTGTGCCACTAGCTGGTGATCTCCTGAAGTATAGCTATAAGTTTGTTACGAGTATTACCTATGTTAGAAAAAGTTTGTAATAAAATTCTTAATGAATTGAGCACATACTCGTATCGTGTTATCGTTTTCAGAACACAAGTTGAAAAGATAAGCATATCAAAGCACTGGTTAGTAGTGATTTGCAAAGATATTTATATATTTAAAAAAAATGTTAATGTCTTGAAGCACTATTAATGATAAGATAAACAAACACATGTCGTTCATTCACAAATGATTAACGACATCAGAGATAAATAATAAATATAAATAAATAATAGACAACATCACTTATAGGTATTGCGCAGATTCCAAGATGAGTAGCTAAACGGATTATTTGGGGCAACAAAGGTATTAAGACACCCAGACCTGGGACAATATACAAAAGTCCATTTTCTACATTGACTCGAACGGTAATCGAATCCGGGACTTTAGAGATGGCGACACCGTGAAATCGGCGAACCGACCCCATCAGCTACGGAATTCGTCACACTATATATTCTATGTTTTACGCTCAGTTATAAAGATTTTGTACAAATTTGCAGCTCACACGAAGTGCCATCGTGTTTGACCGACACCGAGCTCTCGTCCAGTAATCTTAAGAGTCATTTTCTGACAACAGACACGAAATATACGAGTAGTTCTTCCATAAGCAACTCTGAGACACAACAAGTGCGTTTAACAGAACTAGATGCCAACAGTTCCCTCAGTAATATCAGTGACACAAAGTTGGTTAAGAAGAAAAAGAAATTAAAAGTAATAAATAAAATGTTAAGTTACGTCTTCGGTAAGGCAAATAATTGATAATTATTTTTTATTCATATTATAGATTTAATTGTATCTAAGAAACATTGTAGATTGGCATTAAGTAATTTATTATTTATGTTTAATTTAAATTCGGATTTTAGAACTTGTATGAGATTATTAAAATATAGCATGGATCCATAATTTTCTTGTAAACATACTTTATTTATTGATAATACTCAGGAATATAAGAGAAATGAGTTGTAAGCCTAATCGGGTTATAATATCGGTTTATTTATTTTTTCCACGTTTTAATAATATTCCCTTTACATGATATCATATGTAAATTTCCAGTAGTTTAGATAGTTTTATTATGTAATAGACACGTGTCGACTCGAGTACACGAGCTGCGCCGATACCGGCCTCGACGTGTATGATTATATAGATACTAGATATAACTTAAAGTTACCATGTATATAATGAATTTAATTAATTATATGTATTATATAATGGTAGTCAAGTAATTTTATCTTTTATACTGCCGTTTTTAGCGATATCGTGGATTAAGAAAATATGCCAATCGAATAGGGCACGTGCACTTATTATTATACACATAATTCTGCAATGTTTTGTAGATAAAAATAATATCTGAGCAATACTAATTATTATTTGTTACCAGGATTTATATCCGTTTATGTTATAGCTTATAGTACTTAGTTTAGTTCAAGCTATGAAGGTACAGTCGCAGCATGGTTATACACTTGATTTTAAACCTTAATGTATTGAAGGTAGAGTTCAATTTAAATTTGAGATAGTGTAATAGGCGCGCTGCTGTGTATAAAATATAAGGTGCTCTCCTTGTTTTTAAAGAGAAAAGTATTTGTAATGAACATTGATAAGACATATCTTGATAAGAGTTATAATTGTTAAGGATTTTTTAATAGATATCGTCTCTTATTCACGGATATGATTTTTCAATGAAATTTTAGTATTGATTAAAAATTACATAAAATCAACATCAGTATATAGTGTTACGGATGTTTGATAGCTTCTAATATTGTTCTTAAAGTACAGGGTACAATAAAGTTAGTGTATTGTTAAAGAATGATATATTATTGTTATCATAAAGAAATATTTTTTAGACGATCAAACATATTAAATTGTAAATATATATTTTAATGTACGTTATATAATAATAAATTTATACATTCCATTATAAAAGCATTTATCGCAAAATTAAATTATTTTTAAAAATATTTATGTGACGTTAAGCCTGTCTAATTTTTTTATCCATCTCTAAAAACGGTCTCTTTCAAATTGCACTTCCGATAACGAGCTATACTTATAATACCTGGCATAATGCATGGCACGTAAGTTGAACCAAAATGGCGATTTCGTCGCTTCTCACCCTGTGCTTGATTGAGACCCAAAATTTGCTACAGCTCATAGTTCAACTTGCGTTCAGTGATCTGTGGCGAATATTCAGTTTGTTTTGGTTGATACTCTGTAGCAGTACCACCACACTCAACGGGCATCATTCCTATATTAAGTAGTAGTAGCTTCGTCCATGGGACAGGCGAAGGAACTAAGCCATACAGCCAAATCTTGGGTTTTCCCAAGAAAGTACTGTAACGACTAATTTGATTTCAGGAACTATTGTTTTTTTTTTTAATACTTCCTCATTATATTCTATTGACACGTGATTACGGTTCAGTAACTTTAAAACAATCAATTTTTTTATGTAGTATCTATACAATGGTTCATAGTTAATTTTTGTACTATAACGCGAGCTTTTACTTAAATAATTACCGAGCGGTAATCAAGTATTTGTGTTAATAATCTGTTTATCTGTTTTTGTATCATTCAATGGTCATAGTTAATTTTTGTACTATAACGCGAGCTTTTACTTAAATAATTACCGAGCGGTAATCAAGTATTTGTGTTAATAATCTGTTTATCTGTTTTTGTATCATTCAATGGTGCTGTCGTACAAAACATTTATTATGTATTTACTATTAATTTAAAATAAATCGCCTGTTGATGGATGTTATCCAATCAACAAATTAATTTTTTTTTTCAAATCATTTTCTTGTCATTACTTTTGGTGGATTCGCCGATGGTGCGATACTTGAAGCATTTTAATTGAGCAACATTTTCCGCACGTAGACATTCAGCCTTCTGCAGGTACACACGGCTGCACGTCAGGTTATCACAATATCTCAAACTCCAGCTGATTATAAACTCTAACTTCAAAACGTTAAGGTTTAAAATCAGTGGAGAAATTTTAGAGACTTGTCTAACCTGGCGAGCTGTTGACTTTACATTAATGAGCCATATCATCTTTATCTTACAGTGGAACCAAATCTAACAACATTTCTTAGAAAATCAATTACTCCAAACAAATATAAGGGGTATTATATATGCCAGGAGATCGTGTGGTGGATTTGTTAAGTAAAAATAATCAGTTGTTTCATACAAAATTGTACGAAATAGCTGATTATTTTTTGTGAATTCAGTGTTGCTCCTATAATAAAACTGGATCAATATACTTAACTAATCCACTTGGCATATTATAATATTAAACCTTATATTTACAAGTATTTTTGATAATTTTAACTCTGTGTGAGTAATGAATAAAGTGTAAACTAAAAATGAAACTTCGTTAGTTAATAATTTATATATTATGGTGAACAAGTAACAGTAATCTCGTGTATCCTGAGGAAGTGGTCAGCGCCGCAGCTGGCGAGTACGAGCCGGTCCGGGTGCTGCCGCCGCGGACGGAACGAGAGTCTGCTCACTGTCAGGTGATGCGACGCGCTGTCGATCACACAAATCATCACCATCATCACCGGCCCATTAATATGCCAACTGCTGGAGCTCAAGCCTTCATCAGAAATAGGGAGAATGGGCTATGACCCAGTGCGGATTGGTGCTGCTAGCGATTGCAGATGCAGCCGGGCTCAACGGCTTAACATGCCTTTAGTACGGAGGTAAATTTTTGGTCACCCATCCTATTACCGGCCCTTGCGAAAGTTGCTTAACAAGCGTATCGCAAACCAGAGCGCTAACCGCTGCGCCATCGAGCTCCTTTATCAGCATGGCGTATTGATGACTGTTACATCTGTACTGGTATCATAGATATGGGAAACCAGGTGTCCTTTGGTTAAAGGGAAAGAGAAGATCGCGGTACCCTATCATTAGAGACTCGACAGAAAAAGGAGCAATAGAACTTTTGTAGTAGGTTTGTTTATACTGTGCCTGCTTCTGTAGAGAAACAGGTAACGTGATCTCTGACTAAGAGTTTGGTGAATTTACTGTTTTGTTTTGTGAGATATTCAAACGGGAACTACGTAGCCAGTCTTAAAAATGTTGAATATTAACAACCTTGCAACATATTATTTATCTGTGTATTCAACAAACCCATTGCGATATTAGATTAGACAATTAAAAAATTTGTTGGACGTTTTGGGAATTGGAAATTTTAAACTGAAAGGATAAGCAGCTCTTCTCTTACCTCTATAGCTATATTACGCCAATTAACAAATTGAGGTTCTCAATGAGTTAAGAATGAAATCTTTCAAAATGTTCAAGAGGGTGGCGAACTAACAAATAGCAAACGAATCTTGGATTGGTTTAAAAAATTTCGCACCATTTCAAAAATGGAACTTCTGCGCAGGTACATCGCCGTAACTTATACATATGGTTCCATTAGAAAACCATAAATTAATGTACTTAATGAAAAATGCTTAAACAATCCACTAACCACCACTGAGCTACCCAGGACCTAACAGGACTGTATAGTATTATAAATAATACAAAATTAATCAAAAAAATTAATAAGTAAATGTCTTACCTGGTATCCATTTCGCGCATCAAACTCCAACTAGTGTTAAATCCGTATATCCTAATGTTTCCGGTTTCTAATCCGATAGCGATTACTCTGCTTTCAGTGTCTATGGGCGCGAATGCAAGCGCCGTCACTGAAATATTCACTTCTAACGGAGAACCGACCAGACCGTACTCGCCTAGAGACGATTCTGTCTTTTCAGTTTTCGACCATAAGCACACCTGGAAGATACGGAATAGATATAATACTGCCGAATTTATTTTAAGCAGTAAACAGCTTTTTATTGACCGGTAACTATTTTATTTATTTTTAAAAATCAATTATGTAAATATTTTAAGCATATTTTTTATGATATATGAAATTTTAACCAAGTCCGTGGGTCCATAGCTTTTGTACTTAAAAATACTTGATGAGACCCCCTCTCGTCCAGAGCTGGCAATATAGAAACTAGTACTTTAAGACTTAAAAGGTTAAATCCATTGGAATCTATGTATATTAAAAGAAGTCCTGTTCGTTACACCATCTATAACTTGAGAACGGCTGGACCGATCTTTATGATTTATATTGTGCTTTTACACATAAACGTCCGTTAGTTCCGTCAAACCAAAGTAAGCGGAAGGAAAATGAATAAACGAACGGATAGCGTGATTCAGAAACGTGCAATGTCATCTAGTGTGTGTTTAACCAATCACACAGTTTATTCATGTGTAGTGCTACAGTATTAAAATATTATATTTTCATCAATAAAAATAATTATTATAAAAGACACAAAAAATCAGTGAGAAAAGTGATTTATTGATAGTGTTTTGTATAATTTGTCGTCTATGTCTCGTTTTAAATAATCACCTAATGATAATTATTAATTCATCATCATCATCATCACCAGCCCTTTTACGTCCCCACTGCAGGGGCGCAGGCTTTCCTTATGGATGGTTAAGGAGGATGAGCCCTCACCCCCACTGGCCCAATGCGGATTGGAGGGTATTGACGACTGCAAATGCAGCCGGGACCAACGGCTTAACGTGCCTTCTGAAGCACGGTGTAGCACGAGATAATAATCTTTTGGTCACCCATCCCGTGACCGACCATTGCGAAAGTTGCTTAACGACTACGATCGAGCCACCGAGCTGCTCAATTATTAATTCAAAAACCCTAACGGTCAGTTGCACAAACGTCCATTAAAGTTTAATGACGCCTTTAAGCACTAATGAATGTCAAATTCGTATGGGTAATGTCAAATTCGTATGGGTAATGTCTTTTTTTTTATTGAATAGGGGGCAGTCTAGCAGACGGATCACCTGATGGTGAGTGATTACCGCCGCCCATGGACACCTGCAACACCAGAGGAGCTACAAGCGCGCTGCCGGCCTTTGAGGGACGAATAAGCTCTACGCTCGCTTTAAACTAATGAAAAATTAAATTGACGATTGTGCAACTGGCCGTATGTCCGCTCATTCACCTTCCCGTCCCTGGAGCCGGTGGCGAACACGCTACTGTCGTGCGCCCACGCGCAGCACCAGATGATGCGCGCGTGCACGCCGCTGGCCTTGTCCGAGGCGGCGACCGCGTCGAAGTGCAGCGAGCGCGCGCGCCGCCGGTACAGCGCCCAGCGGCGGTCGCGCGACGCGGACACTAGCTGTTGACTGTCCGGCGAGAACGACAGCTGCGTCACCGTCAGCTGGTGGCACACCAGCCTCTGCACTTGCTGCCAGTTCGTGGTCTCCCTGTACAACATATAAATACATGAAACAGATGTCCAACGGTTTCATCGCGTTTGTATTTTCTTTCTTTAGTATAGTTTCGGTCTCTTTACCAATACTATTGAACACATTTACAATACAAAAAAAAACATGTTATGGCAACATTTACGTTTATTAAATGAGGAAGTATTAAAAAAAACGAAAACAGTAAAGAAGCACTTCCACTTGATGGCGATTCTAGCAAAAGTTTTGCAGAAAACCAATGGACTAAAGACAGTCATCTCCGTTCCTATAAACTGAAATTTAACAAATTCGAAACTCAGATATCAATACAAATTCGAAAAAGTACAAATAGAATATCAGTTGTTTATTGAGTTTTGAAAATTAAATATGAAAAAAAAACCGGAAAGATTGACATGGAGAAATCAAGAACGTACCGTGGCGACACCTAGTTTGATTTCGCGAATTTTTTTTTAATACTCCTTTATTAAATTATTTTATGAATACATTTGACTTATTTATTCACCCCTGGCTACCGTAATCTACCACCTGATTCAACTTCAGAAGTCTTATGCTAAAGTAATATGAATTGTAAAATAATAAGTTGTTCTACGCCGTTAACCAAAGAAGATCACCATCATAAAGCGATAGAGATCGATTTATATTTCGATAATTTTAGATACCTAAAAATGTCTCCTACTTATCATTACAATTTCCGTGCAGCAGATTTTATTTCCATAAAAAGAAAATTAGAAATTATAGATTGGCCCACAATTTTTGAAAATCAAAGTTTAGAAGAGTGCGTTTCGACATTTTATAATATTTTAAGGGAAAATATTAATAAGTTTGTGCCCTACAAAATGATTAAATCACCACATTTTCCTGTGTGGTACACTAAGCCACTTATGAAACTTCTTAATGAAAAAAGAAAATATCATAAGCTGTGGAAGTTATATGTGAATCCGTTGGACTATCGAAGTTTTAGTATATTGAGAAAAAGAGCCAAGCGTATGAAAACGGAATGCTATAATGATTATATAAATTATACAGAAAGTAAAATTAAGACAAACCCTAAATACTTTTGGACTTATGTTAAGGCTATTAAAGCAACTAACGGGCTACCGCAAACCATGACTTATAACGGATGTAGTAGTAATGATGGTAAACAAATTTGCGATTTTTTTGATGAACATTTTCATTCAGTTTTTGTAAATAATAATATGAACTCGGCCCTTGACCAGAGTCAAACTAATATAATCAATCTTATTGATTTAAATGAAGTTTTAATTACCCCGAAATTAGTAAATTCATACTTAAAAAAAATTGATACAAATAAAAGTGCTGGGCCTGATGGTATACACCCATTATTGATTCGTGAATGTGCTGATGTTATAACTTATCCTCTCACACATATTCTAAGCTTATCTTTCAGTAGTGGTATTGTTCCACAGATATGGAAATGTGCTTGGATAACACCTATTCCCAAGGGATCTAAAAGCGATAACGTGGCAGACTATAGGCCGATCTCTAAATTATCTCAATTCGCTAAGGTACAGGAAAAGATTGTTGCCGATCAACTTTTTAGAGCTGTCCAGCGTGTTATTGTCCCGAATCAACATGGCTTCTGTAGAGGACGTGGTGTAGATAGTAATCTTTTAAGTTTCACTGAGTTCATACTATCAGTAATGGATGAAAATGTACAGGTAGATGCTATATATACTGATTTCTCGAAAGCCTTCGACAAAATTCGGCATGACTTATTACTTACCAAACTCTGGCAGTTGGGAATCCATGGAGATTTGTTTCGGTGGATTCGGTCATATGTGGAAAATCGTAGTCAAGCAGTAGTATTATATGGTTATAGTTCTACATATAAAGGAATTCCTTCTGGAGTACCACAAGGTTCTCATTTAGGACCTTTATTATTTCTTATCTATATAAATTATTTAACCAATTCCATTACAAATTCTAAAGTATTATTATATGCTGATGATACAAAACTGTATAGAGTTGTAAAAGATTCAAATGATGCTAGGTTGCTGCAAAGCGATCTTAATGATTTTGAACAGTTTTGTAGAAGTAACAATTTATTTTTAAATACAAATAAATGTTTTACTATATCTTTTACAAGAAAATTGAATCCAATAATTTATTCATATACACTATGTGGCAAACTTTTGCGACGTGTAAATGAGATTAGGGATTTGGGAGTAATTATTGACACAAAGCTTTCTTTCATTCCTCATATTGATAACATCGTAAATAAGGCGTACAAATTTTTGGGATTTATTTTGAGAGTGGGAAAACCATTCAAATCAACAACAACTTATAAAATATTGTTCAATAGTTTCGTGCGGAGTAGACTGGAATTTGCAAGCACTGTTTGGAATCCTTATCAAATGGTCCATGTTGATAAAATTGAGAGATTGCAGCGCAAATTCCTAAGATCATTGGACTATAGAATAGGCCACCAACATTCTGACTATGTTTCTTCTCTCGATTTTTTTAACATGACCACCTTAAAGCAACGTCGAGACTGTATCGACATCATGTATCTGTACAAAATAATTAATAATATAGTTGATGCACCATTTTTATTGGAAAACATTAATTTTCGTGTTCCTCGTAGGCAGGAAAGGAATATCCGAAAAAAAGTGCTGTTCTATATTAAACCTAGCAAAACTTGCTATGCTAAAAACAGCTTCATAGGGAGGGCTTGTATTTTGTACAATGATAAACTGAGTGTGGTAGATTTATTTAACTCATCTTTAAATATATTTAAAAATCGCATCACTGATCTCTTATATAAAGTTTAAGTGAAGATTGTTGTAATTATTTGTCTATGTTATTTGATTTGATTTTCTTTTTTTTTTTTACAGTAACTTTTAAACACTTTTATTTTATTTTCTTTATATTGATAATTTTGAGTGCTTTCTTTAATTGCGGAGGTTAACATAAGAAAAATATATAAAGATTGTTATCATTGAGGGAACTGTAGGTTTAGAAACATATATTATATTTAATTATGATAAGTAAAATGTATAACTGTTTGTTCCTTAATAAATAAAAAAAAAAAAAAAAAAAAAAGTCTTGTCCGAGAAGAACTGGCGAAACGCCCTTTGATTTAATATTTATAGAATCAACTAACTCTATCTTTTGGTTTTGCAATGTGTGATCTGAATTGATAATTGACTAATTTAAAAATACATTTGACTTATTTACCCCTGGCTACCGTAATCTACCACCTGATTCAACTTCAAAAGTCTTGCCTGAGAAAAACTATTTTAATATTTACTGAATGAATTAACTGTATCTTTTGGTTTTGCAATGTGTGACTGATTACTGGATCTGAAGCCGATGGTATATGCCAACCTTCATATCTATTAAAATTCTGTTCAAAATCTTTGTCGAAATCAATATTTAATTTTGTTTTTAAAGTATCACTCCCAATCATCAGCCTGTTAATGCTACAGATGAAGCACAGTTCTGCCTTACAATAAGGTTACATAAGGAGCATAGTTTGTACCCGTACGTGTACAGGTGGCGCATGGCGCGTCACTCACCACAGTATGACGGCCGCGTGCTCGGCGCTGGTGGCGCGGCAGGCGGACGCCAGCAGCGACCCGTCGCGCGCGGCGGCGAGCGCGTGCACCTCGTACCCGTGCCCGTACAGCTTGTGCGCTTCCGGCCACAGCGTGTGGGCCATCAACGTTTCCTCAGTCGGCGGCACTGGGCAACACACTCGTAACATCACTAGCTACTCTAACTCAAAAGGAAACGGCGACGGCCCTCAGATTACAGGAGGTAATAGTAACGTTAAGAGGGCATCATCATCATCAGCCCTTTTACGTCCCCACTGCAGGGGCTCAAGCCTTTCTTATGGATGGTTAAGGAGGATGGGCCGTGACCCTCCACGCTGGCCGAATGCGGATTGGAGGGTATTAACGACTGCAAATGCAGCCGGCTTAACGTGCCTTCCGAAGCACGGAGTAGCTCGAGATAATAATTTTTTGGTCACCTATCCCGTGACCGACCCTTGCGAAAGATGCTTAACGACGACGATCGCAGGCCGCGGCGCTTATCCACTACGCCACCGAGCTACTCAGAGGAGATAATAATGCCCCCCCATCCTGATAGTCTCGTCACGTAACATTTTCACGGTCTACACAGAGAGCATTATAGACAGTATATTGCGAATATTTAGGAATACATTATATCGTCACGCGACTTGCCTTCGGTCGATCTGTTACCACTATTTTTGTGAGGGTTGCATTCGTGCCGACCTAACCGTTATTCTAGCAAAGAAAATTCCCAAAATTCAAATGCAGAGTCTTTTTCTCAATTATACGAGTATAATTTTACAATTTTACGTTGCAAATATATAAACGTAAATGGAAATCTCTACATAACGTTACCTGTGAGGTTGACCGGTACGAAGTTGCCGTCGTCGTCGTCGTCGGCGCCTGCGCTGTACACGGCCTTGTTGGAGAGCCCCAGCGACGGCACCGACGCACCCTCCGGCCCGCACGCTGCGACATACACAATTAAACTGGCCATAAACGTGACTGATTCTGACTGAATGTTCGTATTTGATTGCGTCTGACAATCAGATAATAATGACACAAAATATTAAATCTCTTTTGTTTATTTTTACAAAATATGAAAAAAAAATACTATACTAGTAATTTTATATTAATTTATTAATTTATTTTATAGTATTATATTATTATTTTATATTAATTTATTTTATAGTAATTTTTTTTTATTACAGATGGGTCATTAAAAGAAGCCACATTTGACATCTATCAATCTTGTGATAGTGACGCGTCCTTCTCAAAATTTTCGATTAATTTGACGAATCGATATGGTTTTCAAAGGAATGTTAATCGAATGCGCAAAAATAATATCAATTTTATGATTATCATCAATATAGGTATTACTTCGTGAGACTGATTAATAAATTATGTATTGTATCAACAATGTAACAAGAAGAACTGAAGAAAATCAAAGGTAATAAATGAATAACGCACAAATTTAGTTATTACTAAGAGTAATGTAAAAACTTATAG